GTAAATTCTCTGAATTTTTAAACTTTGTGGACACAGCATTTTTGTAGCGCTAGCTTCTTAAACTGTGGATTTTCTTTTTTTTTTGAAAGGATCAAAAGGGAAAAAACAACAGGGGCTACTGATGCCGTAACGCACACAGGTCGTACGGCTTCGCTCACAGCTTACAATTCCACCTGCAACAAATCTGTGAACAACACAGCAAAGTTACGCACCTAATTAAAACACATCTACACACACATAAAACAACACGTCAAGTTTGTGATCTTCGTGACTAGCCACTCTTTGGTTATTCATATGTGACAAAGTAGCTAGAAAGTCTTTTTCCAGTGGAGAAACTTCTCATCCAACTGATGAATTTTACTCCTTTTTCCACAAATGAAGAAGTAAAGATTACAACGGAAATAATTTCACAATTTTAATCAGAACGGATGCGACCGACATGACCATGCTAATACTACGTGACCCTGCCTAGCAATTCTGCCTTAAGAGAAAAACACTTCACCGTAATGCACAGCTTTGGATACTCTCCAGAAAAGCGTTGCTCCTGCCTGCAGGTACGAAATGGAGATACAGAAGGAGTCGTTTGCCCAAGCTCGCAGCAGGGCAGCCTAGACCAAACTCTGGAACCACCTCCTGGCGTCTCCCTGCTGTTCAGGACGGAGAAGCTGCTTTACTACCCCAGTGCAGCACACGGTACTCCACTTGCCGAGCCAGATACTCCAGATGCTCCATCTCCTGTTCCACTTTCCGCCATGAAACTGGAGATGTGTATGTAAACATCAGGTGTGAGCATCTGAAATGCATCCGAAAAGGGAAGTACTCCCCTTCTGCAGTATCAGTTATGCTTTCTCCTCCACCGTGACGTTCCTCCCTCCTTGCCTGAAATGCTCTATCACGTTCAGCTTTCATGTATCAGGGAGCTTCTGTTCTCTTCTTAATCCACCTCCTTAACTACGCTCAGATTTCTAGATCATATCGTTTCAAGAAAGGGACGGTCCATGCCCATTTATTCCATAGTTTCACATGCCTTAATTTAATATGTAATCCTGACAACGCTGCTCGCTGAGCCAAAACTTTAACGAAAGCTCAAAGTGTTTAAGATTCCAACTCTACAGCCAAAAGGTCACATGAAGTCTAACTCCAGGCTTAAGAGATGTATTTTAACCCTTCGGTGCCTTCCTTCTAAAACAGTTTGAGAATTGCCAGGCTAAGGCTGTTTTTACCTCCAAGATGACAGATAGCAAGACCCGGTGCTGTCTAGGAATGAGCAGTTAACCACGTGGGCCACAGCAGGGTCGAAATGCACGAGCAATTCAAGGGACCTGCCCGATTCTTGAGCATCCTACGCCTTGCAGACTCTCAGCCCAGCGTACTTCTAACTCGCTTTCAGCACTGTGCTGAGGTTGCATATAGCAAAAATCCTAGACCGCGGCCTAAAATCCTGCAAGCTCTCACCCAACAATGTACTGTATTCTACTAGGATTGAGATGAGTTTGGTCCTCAAGCCCCTGAGGTAACTGCTAGTCAGGACAGAAGCGTGGCCCATTTCTATCAACCGTTCCTCTCACCCTAGTGGCTAAACGAGATCAAGCATCCAGGTTCAGATAGTTTGGGAATACTTCACTCATCCGTACTTAAAAAACCTCCCCTGTATGACACCTTCTGCTAGGCTACCTCTTTAAAAAAAATCCCCCGACGTTAACAAAGCTGCAGGTAGAAGCAGTTCTGCAGGTAAAACTAAGACGATAGCGAACAGCAGCATTTACTCCCAACGCACGATCGATACGAGCACAGCCATCCCTGGTGTAACTGGGGGGATCGGGAGGGAAGAGGAAGGAGGCTTTTAAAAAAAGTAAAACAACTAAATCTTAAACCAGGTGGACCTGGGTGGACAACGCCAAAGGAAAAGGAACAGAGAAACTTCTCCCCTCACCCCCGCCTGTAAAACAGATTCCTTCATCATCCCTGGCTCTGTTGTTCATAGCGGCCCCATGACAACCCAAGCAAAAGAGGAGTTATTTCCATATTGTTTCAAGTTGCTTAGGCAACAAAAGGGTAATTTGTGTTTTACAATTAAAAAAAAGAAAATTGTAGGATCACAGACGTTAGGGATGGAAAACACCTCCTGAGTCATCACAAGAAATGTGTACGATATCTCCAACAGTAAGGGCATTTCCTATTGACCTCGGCTCACGCGGGATCTTAGAGGGCAGTTATGGAGAACCGTATCTGATGGAAACCCGGGGTCCCCGGCTGCCCGGGCGCGCGTCCTGCCTCCCTGCCCACGTGTCCCGCCGTCACCGGCGCCGCGGCGGCTCAGGGAAGCGACGTGGCCCCCAGCCAGCCCCTGCAAAGAAATCCTTCTGCTTCAGCCGGGATGGTACGGGTGGGAAATGACTTTCCCCTTGGACAGTAGTTTTCATTTACATCGGATTATCAATAAAAAGATTTTATTTTCTTTTATATAAATCTGACAGGCCCCTTAATACGCTTCCTAAAAAACATTTCTAGATAGCAGTTTGAGTTTTGCTTCTACACCATCTAGAAGAAAAGCTCTGTCCAGAGAAATTGTTTATCATTACAGGGAAAGACTATCCTGCTAATTATCTAGAAATCATTAAAGATTATGCAATCAGAGATTACCTAACTTATCACCCAGTTGCACAACAGGAAATTACTGAAACCTTCACAAAGGCGGCATGCACCAGAGTCAAAGCAGCATTTCGGCTTCCTGCATTCACTGGTTGCAGTATTGTAAAAGGGCCAGATTCGAAAATTCAGAATGACATTATTTTGTTCCCACCTACTTCAGGATGAGAAATACATGCTGCACATAATCGAAATTTCTCCTGGGCTCCCCTGACCAGAGGGGGTAAATACTTGTTCAATGTCAACGTTAAACCCAAGTTACAGATTATATGAGAGGCGGAAACTGGATTTTCTACCCAATTAGGGAAATACCATGACCTCCAGTTTGGTTCACAGCAGACTAAATGACTTCGCCTTGTACTGTTCCCCAGGCCTGTAAAACTCCAGTTCTCCATCACAGCCCAGGATCAGTTCAGATCCAGCTCCACAAACCCAACTCATATCAGGAGGCTGCGTTGCAAATCAGCTCCCAGCCATAAAAGTCACAGACGACGGGAGAGCTTGCATTTTACCCTTTACACAACACACGCACTTCTGATAAGCAGAGCAGAAGGGATGATGAGTCAGTTAACAAATGAGCTAATATTCGATTGTTCTGTAAGTAATAAAATTGGTATCGCAGTAAATGTAGGATCTTGGTCAGAACGCTTTTCAAACCTTCTCAACGTCCCCGAACATTAAAACTCGAGTATAAAAGATTGCTTGAAATCTTAATGAAGATGAGCATTTTACAGCTTAGGCTAATCGTTACTTAAAACGTGGTTATTCGCTTCCACATTGTCCCGAGAAACCACGTAACATGCAAATCAGCTGAGTTAAAATACTGATTAAAAGCATTGCTGGAGGATGTAACTATAAGCCCTTCGTAGATACAGTCTGATACCACAGCAGCCTTAAACCGTCTTAAAAACATACATCCACACTACAAAAAGAAACTGCTAGAGCCATATGAAAAACCATTCCACTTAAATTAAGTGCCTGTCATACAGTCCTGATCCCGGTGGCATTGAATTCAACCTCATAAAGATGCATGAATCATAAAGGAAGAAATTATGGAGAGCAGTCGTGAGAGGATTTTTGCTTTTAAATAGGACTCCGCACTTCACAAGCTGTTTTTAAGTACAAAATACCCACATTTGGAACAATAGTATATTATTATACAAACCTTTATCACTTTCATCACTTTATCACCTTTAAATGCAAAATTAATTTCCTTGTTGCTGATATAAATATGAGATAATTTGGATCCAAGAACAAAATAATTCAATTAACACTAAAAGCTAATATGTGAGAAGCAAAATGATAAACTGTGATGTTACAAAAGGAGTCGGTAAAAAAATCGTAAAGTTTAACAAACCTATGCTGGAGGTACACAATGTTGGATTACTAAGGGGAATAATGAAGTTCAAATCAAATCAGCATGCACACACTGTATACAGAGATAAATAGCAAGGTGGTAAGAATATCTCTACATGTGTATATACGAGAATCCAAACTTTTTATTATAGTGACCTAAAATGTTTTTGGAAGAACTACCAAGAGCCATGACTTTTAAAATAAAGATGAAAAATATGAGCAGAAACCTAGGAACATACAACAGATATTGACAGGGAATTTCTGAACTTCTGAAGTATCATGAACTTTTTTGCACCAAAATAGGTTGCGCAGACCCTGAGAGGACACATGAAGCTGACCTCCACATATGTAACCGCTTGCCTTCCAAGCGTGGCCTACTTTTTGGAACAATGTTCAACCACTTTGGGAATTCTTTCCATCAGAGAAGCAAAGCAGAGAAAAGTTCAGTCTGCTGTTTGCTAGAGTCTCCATTCCAACCTTTTTAACCATCACAAAGAAGTTGGGCAGCGCACGCTGCCCTGAGGAGTGCAGCAAGTAATAGAGATGCAATTACAACAACAAAACCCTATTTGATAAAAAATGAATCTTATTTGATTCAAAATAAAAATGAAGTAGTCAAGACAATCTTTGCTATGCTGCTCTTGCAGCTGATGAAACTGCCTTCTGGAGCACGTTGCAAAGTTTCTCCCACTCCTCTTTCCCGTTGGTCCCAAATTGCTAAGAATTAGCTCTTATTATAATGTATCTGCAAGACAGGGTACGACACCGGGGACTATTTCCTAAGCCACCTGCCCATTTACAAGGCGGTTCATGCTGAAGAATAACCCTGCCCTGGCAGAGATGGTCTAATGGGTCTTGTCAGTCTCTGGCTTTGACCAGACTCGGCCTGAACTGAGCTTGGCCTGACGCCTCCTGGGGAAGAGAAGCTCCCTTCAGAAACCAGGCAGCAATCAGTTGGCTATGGGGTAATTAAAATAACAAACTAAATAACTCACCATCCATTCTGGCACGTGGAAAGCAGAGGCGCTTGCACTGCTGTCCCACTTCTCCATAACTGAATCTTTCCAAGGTCGAATTTGTTTCGCAGCAAAAAGAAAGGCTGCTTGGATATGCAAAAGGCTAAACAGTGAGCCGAGCCCAACTCAAGAGCCGAGCTCCAGCTATTCAGCCGCCGAGGCGTCTTCCAGCAGAGGCCTTCTATTCAAATCAGCCTCTTTGGCCAACCGTTCGGACGAGAGACGGCCAGCGCCAAAAGCGCACTCAGCTCCTCGTTTCTGTTTAAAATCCTGGATCGGATGAACTCCACTCTGGTTCCCTGTTTTCAGCTGGTGTTTCAGGGTGAACCCGGCTCCGCACGACTTTTAGCTCGAGCTCCGAGCAGAACGTATGCTTGGCAACCTCGCCGGTACGCGTATGAGACATCTATCAGCAGCCTGCCCACGCCCCGGGGCCCACGTCACCGAAATGCTGATACCACGGATCAATAAAAAAAAAAAAAAGATCCCCACAAAGCAAGGTCAAGGCAGCACACCTATTTTTAGAGCTATATGTCTCCTTGAATAAACAGTATAGCTGGCACCATTAAGAGGTTGTGCAGCTTCTCAGCAAAACAGAAGATGGACACGTCTGACGCGGAAGGGACGCTTCCAGCTTTTAACTAAACGCGGTTGCAAACGGGTTGTGTGATCCTGCGGCTGGATGTAGAACCAGAGAAGTTATTTTTAAAGGCTTCGCATCGAGCGCAAGCTCCGGGCCGAGCAGCGGCGAAGCGTTCGGCTTGGCCGCAGCTCCCTCTGGGGCGCGCCCCGGCGCTTTTTTCGGGACCATGGAAATTGCCCTTCTCCCCCAGGAAGCCACTGGCTGCTCACGACAAGACTATCTGCCCCAACACCTCTCTGTTTTACCGACGCGTGCTACCTGTGCCCCAGTGCAAACGCACTTCATCAACGCAGTTCTTTAAGCCAAGCTTTTTATTTGGCGTAACGCTCTGCAGCAACCGCCCTTCGCTAACTTCTCTCCCTCGGAGCAAGCCCACCAGGCTGTCTTCTCCCTCCCGCCTCCCACGCGCTCAAAAAGCTCTGGGCGAGAGCGGGGGAACTCGGCATCGTTTTCGACATATTCGTTCCCCTTCCGTCTCTGCCGGCAGCCTGGTAAGGAACCCGGCTGCCGAAACCACCGCCTTTCTCAGCGTCGCTAAACACCTCCCCCTGGGGCTGCCCCTATACGGACGGGAGAGGCTCTCAGGTTTCTTTTTGCTCACTATTCTCTAACAACATGAGCAATTTTCAGGGCTAGAAATTTCGTATTTTGCTGTTTCGGGCTAGGAAAGGGTCGCATGCAGCTAAGGGTGAAAAAAAAAGTCTAAGAGGTGTAACACAAGTCTTCTGACCCAACAACCTCAGAGCCGAGTCAATACCTGCGGGACCACGTGCGACCGAAGTCGAGCAGCTACGTTTCGACTACATCATCGCCTAATTTGATCTAACGGGATTTACAGAAACTGGAAAAACTTTGGGGCTTTTTTTTTTTTTGGTGGTATTTTCATAGCGTTGGCCAGCTCACCCTTCCAGATTGAAAGAGGTTTCTATCCAGTACTGCCTGCAAGCGTCAGGGCGTTAAATTCCCACCTCCAAGCAATATTACCTTCAGCCAGAAAAACCTCTTTATCTAGGCAGTCCCCTGAGCAACTACCCAGCCTCGGTGGCTGGCTGATGATCTCCCTGCTTGCGGCGTGAGCGACTGCAGCGCGCAGCGGTCCCTCGCCTGGCACAAGGCGGGCGCCCGCCGTGCCCCCGGGCGCCGGATTGACCGGTTTTGCCCATGACAAAGCTACGTTCCTCCACGGCAGGGAAAACACACCGCAGAGGGCTGCATTTGCTGCACTTGTGCAAAACTCCTGCCGTGCCCGTGCTGCGGGGCTCCTCAAACGGGCTGCGCTGCTGTCGGGAAAGTGGTGCGGGCCGCGAGCGGCTCCCTCCTTCCCGCTCACGGCCCCGTGGGAAAGGGGACCGGGCACCCTGCTCTTGCAGCGGTGGTGATCTTTTTTTGGAGCCGGCTGCACCAAGGCCTGGGCAGTCTGAGCTCAAACGCTCCAGGTTCGGCACATCCAAAGTAAACGGGGGCTCCTATTGCTGAAGAATGAACCTCAAAGCCATCTCAGATACCGCCGGTGTCACTGAGGAGCCAGCTTAGGTTTTGATGGCTGTTAAGCGCAGGGAGTTTTGGTCATTTGAAAGACAGACCTCTACAGAAAAGACACAGTTCTGCTCAAAAACAACAGGCAACTCAAAAACCAGACTTGCCAAAAAACAGCGTACCAGCACAGTAGCCTGCAAAAATGTGTGTTCCACCTGCTGTGGACTCCAGGGACAAATAGCTTCTCTGAGTCATGGTTTTCCAGCCTAATACAAGAACCATAAAGGATTTGTGCCCTCAGGATCCTCAGGTGAAAGACGCTGTAGAAGCTCAGTCTTACTATTTACCGACACCTTCAGCGTAAGCGCAGGAACCTGTTGACTTTCGAATACCGCAAAGCCCGCCACCAGTCCCAGGCTGTTTCTCAAACCTACCTTTTAGCTTTCAAAAGATTTAAATAGGAATCACTGACAACTGACTGCCGCTTTCAACGCCATAGGAAAAACACTGATTGCTCAAGGCATTTTAAAGGGAGGTAACATTTAGAAGTCGCTTGCGAGCTGACTACACACACTGGCAATTCTTGCAGAGAAGTTTTGTATAACGCTGCTTACTAGCAAAAGGCTGAGATACACCAAGCACACAGAGGTGGCATTTTTCATCGAAAATTCATGAAGCGTTGAACCTTCCAAATTTTGGACAAATATCTGTTACCAGCAATCTCAACAACGTATTTGTCTGCAAAGAACAGATGCTCCGTTCCTGTCACTTCTCCTTACAACCTTATTTTAGCCAGAGAGACGTGTAGAGATGAACGTGTTCTGGCCTGAATGACTCTCTCAGTTCTTTTTAAGTTTTAGGTGAAAAGAGGCCTTATGCCAGTTTTCACGACAAAAAAAAGTTTAAGAAGGAATGCCAAAACACCCCGCCTACCACGATAAAGTAGCGACTGCTTCAGAAGCGGTGCAGAATCAGGTAATCTGATGGTAAAACTCCAGTCGACGTTAACGGGAGAGCTGTGGCTGTTTCGGGCACTAAGCCCATTAAGGTCCTCTTCCCCAAAGGTATGATCCCTTCACGTGAAAGATGAGGAGGACACAGTGAAAACACGCTCTGCCGGATGCCACCCTGTGGATGGTGGTTTCTAACGCCCACGACCCTCCGTTCAATGTTTGTTATAAAAAGATGCAAGGTTTTGCCATTGCATGGGGTATTCTGGCAGCCTCTAGTGTCCCATGGCCCAGGTAACAACACCGCTGAGATAATCAGAGAGCTGCCGAACCGTGCTGCGTATGTACCCAGCTCTAGGAAAAGTGCTAATGAGTCGAAGAGAAAAGGCTTTAAAAAACCCACTTCAGCACAGAGATGAAACGATCATTGGGCCCAATGAGCCAAGGACGCTCTT